GGGTCTACAGGGTATTCAGGGTCTCACTACTAGATCGGACTCATAGTGATCCACCTGTTTACAGCCTCCCAAGAGCTGGGATTACAGGCACGTGGCCACCATCCCCAGTCTCAATTGCCATCTCAGTGTGCCCCAGGAGTGGGGCCAGCACAGCAGGCCCTGGGGTTAAACTCCTGGCCCCTGCACTTGCTTGCAGGCACTTTAATCCAATGAGCTATTTGGCCAGCCCTAAATTTCCCCTTTTGTCTTCAAAATTTATTCTTCCATTTTAGGAAACTAGTCAAGTTTATACAAAATGAACTTTCCATTTGAGACATAGAAGAGATAATCTGCTGAGGGTCAGCTTGATCAGAAACCGTGTTTTGGAAACAATCACCTAAAGGTGACTGGCAGCACTAGTTACTGCCCTGTCATCCCCACCAAAGTGCTGCAGGGCTGTTCTCTTATTTAGAAAATATTTGTGGTTGGTACATCTGGTTCAGTTTATCATTTTTTATACTTGTTTAAGCAGCAGAAATTGATACCTTATATAAAGGTTGAAGTAAAGCACCTGGTACCCCAAAAAATTGGGGGCTAGCAAAGAACTGTAGCATAGTCTTCCTGAGTGTTAGAGGAGCTCCCCATTTATGGGTGCTGGGAACATGGGGGGTTTTCACTTGTTTTTCTGAATTCAGGTTCTAGAGAGGAGCATATTACTTTGTTAAGGGGAAAGACTTCACTATGAATGCATGTATGTTGATTTTGTAGTGAACAGCTGACTTGCACAAAGAGGTGTCTGTGGTGGGTGTATATGTGGGTCCTGAGGGAAGGAAGGAAAACCTGTTTCTACAGATTTTCTGTTCCTGGAGCTTCTTTGTGTGGATTTTGTTGTCAATGTGTTTGAACAGTGTGAAGTTTTACAGTAATGTCCCTGGAGAGACAGGTCAGGAATGCTTACGCAGTTATGTGGGTCAGAAGTCATCATGAAGAAACTGTGTACCAGCACCAAGGAAACTTGCCCAGAAGCGATTCACATTCCCAAAACATTGCATGGCCAAAGGGGCCCTGCATTCCACCTCAAGGATGATGATGCAGCAGCCTTAAGTAATAAACTCAAGGTCGAAGGGCAGCAGCCCAACCACATGCATAGCTCAGTGGGTAACACATTACAAGGCCCAAAGACAGTGAGTACACTAAGTGGAGGACAGTGGCTTGCCCAGCTGATAGCCTCAGGCCAGAAAGGTTTAGGTGATAATGTAGTTTTGCTGACTTATCTTTTGGCCCAGGTCAGAGGTGGCTTAAGTCATCTGTGTGACTCTTTGTAGTGCCTGGTGAGAGGCCACCTGGTAAGGTCTCTAGTCCTTGGCAGTGTGTGACATTATATAGGCTGAAACATCTGCAGAGTTTGTGGATGTGTCTTGCTGTCCCACACCTTCAGAGGAAGGCAAAAAACCAAAACACTTTGTCTGTAAAGGCTGTGCATGTTACATAACAACAGTAAACACAGAATGCTACTGTATGTATGTTTGTTTAGACAGGATCTCTATGTAGTTCAGGCTGGCCTCGAACTTGTGATCCACCTGCTTTAGCCTCCCAAGTGCTGGGATTACAAGAGTTTACCTCCATGCCCGGCTTGATGAAATTTTCTATAGGCTTGTTTCCATAAAAGGGAGAAGAGTCTTAAAATTTAGGTGTTCCTAAGTAAGTGTGCAACAGAGAAACAGTTTATTGCCATTAGAAAGGTGTTGAATCCACGTTCTACCTTCTTACTAATAACTTACAGAAATTAAACTGACTTTCAAAATGTAAAACTTCTAACTTTCTTGGATTGTGTACTATTAGGGAGGTAGCTACCTATAAGCAGCGCTAATAATTTTATTTTAAAGGAAAGTTAATTACTGACTAAAGTCACTCCTGGCTGCCAAGGGATATTGGTTAAGTGAAAACTGCCATGCACTGGTCCCATGATGACACTCGGGGCATATGTCCTGCCCTGGCATTGCCACCTGTGCCTTTGAAAATGTGCATGATCCTAGACTGGGCTGCTTCCAGCCCTGACTCAGGAGCCCACGTGCCTTTGGAGCTGTAAGATTTTCTTTTCTCAGGCTTCAGGCAAAGCACTTCAGAGCTGCCTGTTTTGCAGGACTTGGAGAAGGAGAGCGACACACCCCTTCAGCAAGTGTCCATTGAGGAGATCCTCGAAGAGCAGAGAGTGGAGCAGCAGACCAAGCTGGAAGCAGAGAAGCTCAAGGTCCAGGCACTGAAGGATCGGGGCCTCTCCATCCCTCGAGCAGACACTCTGGATGAGTATTGAGTCCTGGAGAATAGGTGCTGTAACAGAAAAAAGGTGACATCCCAGTTGCCTCCACATTTGACCAGAAAGTTACTTTGGTCATTTTTTTTAATGCTCTCGCATATGCAACATGAAGCTATCACATGGGATTTTGTTTTGTTGTTCAAAATAACAAAATCATTGTTTAAAGAGACAGTGGCATGGACTCCATGCACACATCACTGTGGAGCCAGCGCTGCATCTTTGTATTGCTTTTCTTATCCCCACTTAAGAGTCTACAGAGGACGGTCTTTATTTTCTTGTAAATAAAATATGAAGCTCAAAACCATCATGTTATTTCCCAGTTGAAGTCGCCGCCAGTACCAGACAGTCGCTTGTCCATATGCAGGGCTCACAATTCCAAGTAGCTGATTGCATATGGAGGAGTGATTTGTTCCGGTTACTTCTGAAGTCTTCCCTTCTCCCCTTCCATGTTTGTGTCTCAAACCATCAGGCTTCAGAAGGAGATTTCAGTTGAGTATTCCAGAGTTAGTGATAGCAGACACCACATAGTAGAGAAACAGTGTCACGCTTGAGCAGTCAGCCAGGTGTGATCAGGGAGCATGCCCCATGATGGAGGCCAAGTCTGGCTGAGCACAGATGAACAATTCTGAACATCACTTTCTATATCTAACAAACTGTCATTCTATATTTTAAGAAACTGCTAAAAACCTCTATCAGCTTTTAAAAGTGTATCCTTTGATTTTATAGGCACAAACTGATTTTTTATCTTACAGTGGAAATGAATCCTTTGAGAATGGAAACAAATTTGCAAATCTTTAATAAAACAAAAACTCAAAAAAAAAAAAAAAAGAAACACCATCACACCTTGTTTTCCTGAAGTGACTTGTTCTCAGAGCCTTCTAATTTAGTTAGCTTTCCTAGCCCTTGCATTAGGTCTTTTTTTTTTTCTGAGACAGGGTCTTACTACGTAGTTCAGGCTGGCCTTGAACTGACTATAAAGCCCAGGATGGCCCTAGCCTAATGGCAGTGCTGCCTCAGCCTCAGGGGTGCTGGGACTCCGCTGTGCCACCATGCCTGGCCTACGCCAGGCCTGGAGCCTCTTGTGCTATGCCTGCTTTTAGTGGCATTTCAGGCACTAACACCTGCATGGGTGCCACTCTGATGGTATAGCGTAACAGCTGCAAAGTGTAATAGGCTACTGGGTGTTTCGTTTTGTTTTGTTCCGTTTTGTTTTTTGTCCTTTTTTTGCCAGTGAGATAGCTCAGTGGACTAAGAACCTGCTTAGGCAAGCACAGGGACCAGGGTTCGATCCCTGATACCCCATGCTGTGGCAGCCCTGCCCCAGGAGCGCCAAGCTAGCCACCAAGACTGGGTGTGGTAGTACACACCTGTAATCCCAGCACTGGAGAGGCTGAGACAGGAGGATCACTACGAGTCTGAGCCCAAGTCTGAGCTGCATAGTGAGGCCCTGTACCAAATAAATAAAAGACTAGAAAAGAAAAAGCAGTGCAGTTTAGCCAGGCAACTGGTGCATGCCCGTAATCCAGCTACATGGGAACCTGAAGCAGAAAGACTGAAAATTCAGGGCCAGCCTGAGCAACCTGGTAAGACCCTGTCTCAGAAAATAAAAGAAGAGCTTGGATGCAGCTCAGTGATGGAGCTCCCCTAGGATCTCCATTACACCAAAAGGTAGGGAGGTAGAGCAGTTATACAGTGACTGAGGAGTTTCCTCGCTTGGTTTCTTGGCACATTGCTTGAGCAAATCATATTCTTGATTCTCAGTAATTTTTTTTTTCTTAGTAACTTTAGGGAGTAGATTTTGAGACCAGGCCTGATTACCCTTTCTTTGAAAATAAGACCCAGCTGGAACATTAGCCTTAAACAGTAGAGATCCAAAATGCCAGGCCTGGGGCCAGGGAGATGGCTCAGTAGAATAAGTGCTTGCCTGGCAAGCACGAGGACCTGAGTTCAATCCCTAGTTCCACCAAAAAAAAAAAAAAAAAAAAAAGCCAGGCCTGGTGCTGCATACCTGTAACCCCAGCAATCAGGAGGCTGAGGCAAAAGGATCACTACAAGTTCAAGGGCAGCCTTGGCTACATAGCAAGACCCTGTCTCCAAAAAATGCCAGTCCAGGGGCTGGTAAGATAGCTCAATGGTCACTTAGGCAAGCTTAAGTAAGTGTGCAGGGACCGCAGTTTAATCCCTGGCACCATGTGCCATGCCAGCCACATCCCCAGGGTGGGCTGAGTTGGCCACAATAAATACATAAACTTTTTTTTAAAATGCCAGCCCAATCAGGCTACCTGTGGTGCCTTTCCTGCTATCACTATTCTTGCTTGATGGCTGCTCTGGAAGGCAGCTAAGTGAGGTGAGGTTGATGGGCTGGCTCTTTCTTTCTGTTGGTACTGGGGATCAAACTCAGGACCTTGTGCTTGCCAGACAGGCACTTATGCCACTGAGCTATCTCTCTGGCCCCAGACTGGAATTTTTTATATCTAGTTTTCAAGGCTGATTATTTTCAAGCTTGGTCTGATTTTCAGGGAAAAACTGTGTAGTCCAGGCTGGTCTCAAATGTGCAATCATCCTGACTCAACCTTCCAGGCCACTGGTTTTATGAGCATACCTGGCTCCTGGTTCTCAGTAATTTTAACTTTTCCAGGTATTTTCTTTTTATAATCTGTTATGCAAAGATGTCCTGTAAATGAGATTTGTATATAGTTTTGTGTGAGTTACTCTATTTGTTTTTTAAGACAGGACCTGACTGTGTAGTTCATGCTGTCTTTGAACTCAGTATGTAGCCCAGGCTGGTCTTGAACTCATGGTGATCTACCTGCCTGGGCCTCCCGAGTGCTAGGATCATGGGTGTGTGCCATCATGCCCAGCTTTAGCTGTCTTAAGTAGCCATCAAACAACCAGGTACAGTGGTGCATTTGGAAGGCTGAGGCAGGAGGAACATGGCAAGTTCAAGACCAGCCCATAGCAAGAGCCTGTCTTTATTTTTATTTTATTTTATTATTTATTTTTTTTAAGAGCCTGTTTTTAAAAAACCAAAAACACCACGCCAACCCACCACCAGGGTGTGCTGAGCCAACAACCGCCCGAGTCCAGGTGTATGTGACACATATACCTGTGATGCCAGCACTGGGGAGGCTGAGAACGGGAGAATTACTACGAGTCTGAGCTGCATAGTGAGACCCTGTACCAAATACATAAATAAAAAAAATAAAATAACCATAAAGTGATTCCAAATTTGATAGCAAGAGTTATGACTTAGGAGAGGAGAAGGTGAAAACACTTAAATCTGTTGACTTCTAAGCCTCGGCAGTGTTTCTGTTATTGTGCATCCTGTGTTGTACTAAACCTGCATCGGGCAGCTGCCAAGAATGAAACCTCAAGAAACTGCCATGATGCCTGCTCCTCCCCAGGCCCTGCCAGTCTGCTCTGCCAACATAGCCTTTGCACACACAGAAACCTGGTGCTGTCTTTCAGACCACAGCCCCTGGGGCTGTCTTCTCTTACTAGACCTCAGGATCCATCCTGCTTCACACTGAAACTTTCTTCTACCTGAGGCTCTTGTGAAATAGCTTTCAGAGGATAAAATACCAAGGGGAATAGGATAAAAACAAAGATATATTCTGTACAGTACAGGTACAAATTGCCTATGATGAATGTGAGCACGATGTATGACAAATATGTACTAATAAAAAAATTTTTAGGGCTGGGGAGATGGCTCAGTGGTCTAAAGCACCTACTTAGAACAAGCTTAGCAAAGCACAAGGGACCGCGGTTCAATCACCCAGCACCACATGCCAGCCAGCCCCGCCCCCTGGTGGGCTGAGCTGGCCACACACACACACACA